AGAAAATTCGGAGAAGAAAGGGCGTACCCAAGGTACCGCCTCTAAAAGAGCTAAGTTCTGTTCGTTTAAGTTACCTAATTATAATTTCATTGCAGAGGAGGCAAAGCGCCAGTTGTTTACACCTTTAGTCACCTTTTAAAGAAGAGGTGTTGATCGTGCTAAATTAAATTTTAAGAAATATTTTCTTGCTCAATAGTTCGACGTGGAGTTAACCTAAAAAAACGAGAATATCAAAAGGGATGAAAATATAACAAGATTCATTTCCAGGAAATTCCCTTACGGGATCAATTTATATAGAGTAAAGTCAATGTCTTCCTAATTTAAACAGCTTTTCGCAAGATGACGGAAACACTCCCATATTTAACAATGAACTGAAATTTACGTAGAAACATTTGTCTTCATGTCAAACCCACGACCACAACAAGAAAAGCTGACAGACATTCTAACTGTAAGAAGGCTGTCAAAAGGAATAGGAAATCATCAACCTGCTCATCGCAACCTTTTACCGAATGGCTTATAGTAATATATTATTTCCATTCATATTCCTAACCCAGAGGTAATGAAGCTCTTATAATGCTTCTAAATAAGATATGTTTTAATTTTATCGTTCAACATAGTACTTTTGCCGAGCGGGTAAGCGTTTGAGGATGTTGTCAGCGCTCTCTCGTTTCCATCGAAGGAGAAACTGGGCCAAAATGACACGTTTTCCTTTCTTGTCAATTGTTGTTCCAACAGGTATCTGTGGTAGTTTATTTTTGTTCTGAAATTAGTAATTTTTTCCTTTGTCAATGGAAATATTTTTTATTAATTCTAGGCTCTTCTGTCGAGTCCGTACACAAGCCCCAAAGCATCAGGACCCATCGACTCTCAAGTACTAAAGAACGCTCTGGCGCGCCTTAATCAGGCAGACACTCTCGAGATGTCCTTTTCATCGAGCTCTCCTGACCTGTACTCCCCTGAGCACAGGTCCCCAGAAAGAACCATGGCAGGTAATACACTGAATGGTTCCTTCATTGGCTCATATCGGCCGGGACTGATGAATAGCACAGTACACTGATACAATGGGTAACCTGTGCACAACACTCGGGACGCTTCTGTGGACAAGCCCGCATGCATACGTCAAGAAGGAGGTTCCTTTATATCAAAAACAAATTAAGTTGTATTTATATTATTTTGTGAACACAACTGTTCTCAGATGGAAAGAAATCAATTACCGATACTGGTAGAAAGGGAGCGAAAATATAACCGCTACTCAAACAGGAAGCTATCGCTCTTTGGTTTTTTCATTTTAGCGTGCTACTTTTACGGTTTAGACTATCTGTGATTGAGGAAAGTACTGAAATGATGTCAAGCCTATTTTTTGAATACCCAGAAATTGAGAGCATTTATTTATGAACCCTTTCTTATCTCTTGGTACATTCTACACCCACAAAACTGACTTTGAAAATAATGATGAACAAGAACGAGGATCACTGACTTGTTTTGTTTTACAAAGGGTTCACTTAACTTATTGCATTTTTCTTCGTTTTAAAATTATATTCAGTGCGAGACCTATTCCCGAGAACAAACCAAACTGTAAACTAATTATCGTCAAATGTGGACGAAAAAAGAAATCTGTAGTCACTAATGTATGAGTATTGCAAACTCTTGAACAGTTTTACGAGAACCCCCTTTTTCGGTTGGTTATTGTTACCTCACTGAACATTGAAAACCCTGTGATTATTGAGGTATTGAATCGTAATTTACAGAAATAACTATAGCTACTTAGATAGACCTTAAAGAATTCGCAACACTTTTCAAAGCAGTTTTGAAACATTTTTAATGATACATTGACCTATAGATCGTCTAAAGATGTGTGCGTGAGGATTAATATATTTCTTGAAAATAAGTGTTAATTTATTATCATAGCCTCTATTGACAGTTTCTTCAAAGGGTATTATATGGTGTTATTACTTTTAAACAATTGTGACTGTATTTTTAAATTATTGAACAAGTTATTGCTGTAAGTATTTTGTACAACAGATTTACATAGAAAAAACCCGACATAATGCTGGTCTTTGGTAATGTCGCCAAATAAAACAAAATTTCATCAAGGCGTTAAGTTCGTTGGTATTTGGCAGGTGACAAAATTGAGAACTCAGCGCTGTCGATTGCACAACAGTTAAAATCGCTCTGAAGGAAGCTTGCGAGCGCTCCCATGAACACTTCAGCGTGAGGAACAAAGCCAGCAAGAATCTTGCTGCCTAGCGAGGCAAGAGCAGAATGTGAAGGGTTTGTGCGGAGTCATGCTCAACCGCACGTGTCTCAGCGTAAACGAGAAGCTGCTTGCAGACTACTTTGAACGCTGAGATGTGCTTTATGGGCGGTCATCATAGGAATTTTCATGTAATGTTCTTACGAAGCTAGAAAATCACAATTTTGATTAATGAAAAAAACATAACAGAAGTAAGCTTTTTCTTCTAAATTCGCCATGTCAGCTTTCTGAAAAAAGGAAATTTCAGTTTTGCAAGTGTTGTCGTTTTCTTTCTAAATAAATTGTCCTGGTACGCTAACCCTACTGCATTTGCGCAAAAGGAAGACCTTGAACTCGCGCTGCTATATAAGTGGGAGGAAGTAATTTCCTCTTATTGACGACGTCGTAGTCTACCGTCAGAACTCATTTGACTCCTAGAAAATTCTTTAGTTCTTCACATTCGAGGATTCGAGCTTCTTTAGAATTAATAGTGTGATCCGTGCACGCAGCTTTGCTGATTGGCCCTTGCTCGCGTAGACGATCATCACCTTTGGATACACGCGTGCTTGCTCTCCTCAAGGAAGCGACAAGGAATTAGCACAGCGCTTTAAAGATTTATATATTTTTTTTTCATTCATCCTTCCTTTTCTCTCTTGGTAACACTTAGGATCAATTATGACCGTTTTTGATTCATTCAATGCCAGTCTCCAAGGTACCGTTGCGTCTAGAATCTTACATTTTCCGCACTTGCAGGGGTAAGAGAGAAAGATGATGAACTGGGCACAAATATTACTCAGCGGAGTATACTAAGTGGCCTTTCAGCTTTGACGTCAATCGATACAAATATGGCGGACGTAGTAGATTCCTTTCTCGCTAAGAAATGAACTGAAAATGTGATTTGCAGCGATTTTTTGGTTTAAAATCTACAATCATGCTGATATATGTGGAGAGCAAAGCTTTTCCGGTAAGTTAAAAGCAATACTTATCAGCTTTTCCTTAGAAGACCAGAAAAGTGTTTTCATGTTGTTTTCGTTTGTTGGTAACTTGGAGACGATAAGGGCATGTTGAGATATAAATGTGATTTCAGTTGTATCTGTCTTGCCCTTACAGGCAACAAATTTTGCTCAATTCCTTTTCGTATTAGTTTTTTTTTGCGTATCTATTCTTTCCTTGGTGCGACCAGTTCTTTTCCCTCCACCATAACTCTGCTTTTGAGTCACTTTAGATGATAATAAATGACTGAAAATTGCACTTCAGAAGAAAGGTCCTTTAAGCTAAGTTACGTGTAGTGGGAAGTTTGACTTGAGAAAGTTGAGTCGGAGATGTCAGATTGAAATCACTTTTATTAATAATTCAAATTGTAGTGCCAAAGGTAGCAATGTTACTAGTGATGATAATTTGGTTTTATGAATTGAGTTGATTGTGTAAATTTGCCACTGTAGAGAGCTTTTAAAGCTGATGTTTAGAGTGTTAGCACCTTTGCTCTGATAAAGGGCTATTGCTTGAAATATCAGCTTTAGGAGCTCTCTACAGTGGCCAATTGACCTCCCTAAGTTACTGAGTTGATAAAACCTGATTATCTTATATAACCTCCCAGCCACACAGCACTCAGTGCAGTTTCTTTCAATTAGAAACTTACCCACTTAAGTCATGAGTGATGAGTTTTTCATTCCTACAGAACAGTCTAGAGTTTTGGTAATATGGCATCAAATGACATGACAACCCCCTCTAGAGAGGCATTTTTCACCTGTTTATACTTGATGTGATTATTTGTGTTATTTGCAGAGCAAGACATTTACTCTGGTGTGGAACCCACATGAAACTGTTGCAAGAGCAAGAGCACAGATGCTTCATATTTTATTTGAGCTTGGAAGAGCAGAGCACCAGTTTCGATTCAGATTCAAAGGCGAATATCTGAGAGATGGTTATACCTTTGAGGTATAAGCAAATGTTTTGACCATTTAACTCTCCCAAGTGATCAAAACAATATCTCCTTACTATCTGCCTAGTACAGTGCTTAAGATGTTAGCTGTGAAAATTTGGTATTGGATCAACTAACAATCCTGTGATTGATATTTTTTCTCTGTTGTTGTTACTTGTCTTCTTGATATTGTATTGGTACAATATGGAGAAATTTTGTCTTGGTCACTCATGGAGGCTAAAGTGTTAAGACCAATCTGTTTTCAGATATTCAAGCATCAACAGCAGCCTCTACTAATATCCTTCCTAGTTTCCATCTTCCCAACTCCATCACTTTTCACATAAAAAAAACTTTAAGATACAATTAGAAATAAAAAGTCAATAAATTTCTACCTGTTGGTCTCTTGAAAATTATCTATCTTGAAAAACATTTCCCATCAAATACAAGGTCACCTCTTTCACTGTAAGATTTCGTAAAAGAAATCCTTTATTCACTTAAAAGCGGTAATAATCATTGTTCCATATAGATCCACAAGTGTTATCTAATTTACAGGGCTCTACACTAACTTTTCAACTTACTAGCCAAGTGGCTAGTAACAACTGAGATGTTAAAACAATTTTAATTTGTTCACTAGCCAAACTGGCCAGTGGAAATTGAAAACCACCATACAAAACTGAATTTCTACCTGTTTGTGGCTTAAGTTGGCTACCGTTCGTGTCGAGCTCTGATTTAGTATTTATTTTTTTTGCTTTTGTTAGGACTACAGGATTCTGGATAACTCTGTGATCAAAATGGTTCCAATGAGTAAAAGAAAAAGAGGAGTGAGTGTTTACTGTTATTGTTGTGTCTTTTTTTCTTTTATAATATGAGCAAGGTCAAAATTTGTTACTTGTATACCGGTAATTTATGTTGACCCTTGAACTCCCAACAGTGACTAACATGTAAATTCTCTCGACAGTATTCATATATATTCCAGCAAATAGATATTAAAATGACATTTTTCTCACAATATGAAAACTGAGGGAATTTAAAAGTTTTTTTTCTTCCTTTCTTCTCTTACTCAGCTTTCTTTCCAATCCTTGGGTTATTTTCAAGACCTGGCAGAAAACTTCAAATTTTGTTGATTTACCCTTTTTGTGAATCCAATGGAATTTTTTAAGGTCTTAGTGTTTTTTCTTTTGACAGTCTTACGCAACTGTATTCGGGCAAGACCAATCTGCTCAAGAAGTAGCTGGCTCTGATGTACATGCGTTTGGTTCACGAGTAAACCTCCTAGGACAAGAGGAGTTAGATGATGTACAGAAGGCATTGAGAAAAGAAATTACCATTTTTGAACGAAGAGAGACATTACTGGGCAATTTTAAGGTTGATATCCTTGTTGTAAATTTGATTATGTTTAAGCGAGTATTTCTATACCTAATAGTGACTGACTAACTAACTGATTGATAAACTGTCAGACAGAATAACTAACCTTTAAATGTTTATAAATGAGCCACTGACTTGCTAACAGATTAACTGACTGACTATTTTAACAAACCAACGGTCAGACAAACTGAGTAACTTATGGGATAGATTGTTAAGTTCAGTGATTGACCAGCAATTTCAGTGCTTATGGTCAAAGGTTTAACTCAGAGAAACATTTTGCATAATATTCTTCTTTTTATCAGCCCTTTCCTCTTTGGTTATCTGAGTATTAAGCCACCAGTTGATATTTGAATGATCAAACTTCTGAAAATTATGGTCAGCTTCCTCATAATATAAGGACGATGAAAAAAGTTGAGCTCAGAACCCTGAACAAAGGAGATATACATGTGGTTAATTGCAATTCAACAGAGTTAACAACAAACAGCATCAGCATTCTTTAGTAGTTAGCGGTATTTTTGCATATGCTCAAGCATCAGAATTCTATGTGCCCTTTGTTTGAGGCATTCTTGCGTGTGCTTTGAGTGCATACTTGCAGTGTTCCCAGGCAGTTTTTCCCCACCCATTCCCTCCTTCTTTCCACTGTTTATTCAGTGTGATGGATGCCTGTTTCCCTTTCCTGCGTAGGGGCTCATGGGTGGATTGCCAGGATATGCCAGCCATGGGAGAAGTCTCCATCTAGGAGCTGGCTGCCAATAGTGGAAGCTCCTGGATGTTTCAGGCACCCAACCTCCACTCAGTGATGCAGTTGTTAATGTATGACTAACAGACAGACTGCTGACTGATTGACTGACACATAGGCTGGCTGATTGTAACTGAGTCACACACAAGCTGAATGACTGTAACTGATAGGCTGACTGTTGACTGATACAGGCTGATTAACTGAAAGTATAAAGGCTGATAGTTTCTAGAGAAACTGTTTGGGGCTGTGTCGGTAGGGGTAACGAAATAATTTGAATATATCAACAAAGTTGAAATGGTAAATTGGCCACCGTTACGATTATAAAAGGTGACGTTTCGAGTGTTAGCCCTTCGTCATTCGCTCCGACGAAGGGCTAATGCTCGAAATGTCAGCTTTTATAATCGTAACAGTGGCCAATTTACCATTTCAACTTTGTTGATATATTCAAATTATTTGATTAAGTAAAGGCTGATAGTTTCGAAAGAAACTGTTTGGGGCTGCATCGGTGGGGGTAACAAAATAATTTGGATATATCAACAAAGTTGAAATGGTAAATTGGCCACCGTAACGATTACAAAAGCTGACGTTTCGAGCGTTAGCCCTTCGTCGGAGCGAATAGAGGAATTGTGGGTTGTGTGTGCTTTTAAAGGCAGAAAATGGAGCTACGTTATTGGTGGGAACATGGCAACGAGAAAAACA